TAAATTTGTTAGTCTCTAAGGTGCCACAAGTACTCCTGTTCTTTTTGCTAATTTTTTTAGTGTAGACCAGGCCTAAATGAGTTGGGCATGTGGGAAGCCTCCCCTCTGGGCAGGAGAGCTGTGTAACTACAGCTCTGGCGCAGCTTAAGCTAAATAGCCCTTAACGGCCATTTGCTTGAGGTGTCGTTAGTTTGAAAGTAGCAACCGTTCAAACGCCACCACTCGCCTCAGGTTTACTTTTGAACTGAACGTTCTGCGGCTGTCGGTTGGCTGCCGGGTCTCAGCGGCGCATGCGCGGCACGGGGTTCCGTAGCGTCTCTGCCTTCCTTCCTCTCCGCCTTCCCGGAGGGAGCCTCTGATAGGAGGGGGCCAGGGGAGGGGTTTAGTGGCTAGCAGCGGGCTGGGAAACCTAGTAGGGAGGGTGTCAGTGGCTGCCTGAGGGGAATCCTGTGCGGGCGAGGTGAGTTTCCCTGCTACGGCTACCCACGCGGGGACGGGGGGAAGCTGAGCGGGGCTGGTGGAGGGAGCTGTGTGGTATGGCGTTGGCAAAGGGATTAACGGACGGGAAGGACTAAAGCGTTGGGGATTGTGGGGCCCTTAAAGGGGAAGGCACTGGTCAGGTTGCGGGCTGTAGCACCTACCCCCATTGCTCTAGTAGGGGCCAGCTCAAGACGGGCGTTAGACAGTCTCCCTGTGCCCTGGCAGCGCGGTGTAATTGTCTGAGGAGAGTCACCTGCCGCCCCTTCTTCTCCGGGTGCTGCTGGCAGGACTCCCGCGATCTGGTCTCCAGGCGCTGCCAGTGGCTCGCTCACTGGGCGCTGCAGGGCACGTCGCTTGCCCGCTCCGTGCCCGTGGGGATAGTGGCTCCTTCGCGGGGGCTGCTGTGAAATGTCTGGATTAAAGTAACTTGTGCTAATAAACACGCTGAATGTTTATAAAGGTGTCTTGAGATTTTTGACTGAAAGGTGTTGTGTACATTGAAAGTGTTTCTTGCTGAAGTTACAGTTGAACTGGGACAGAAAACTGCAAGTCTTTGCTGGTAAGCGACACTTCTGCTGCCTCTGCCCTTCACAGTGGGTATGTCCTGTTTCCCCTCTCCCCCTCCCTTTTTAGTTACAAAAAGGATTTAATTGTACCTTATATTCCTGTAGTACTGTTCATAAAAAAGTGCTTCACAAACTATGGACCTACTGACACGAGTAGTTCATTTGATGCTGCTGTGACAGCTCATATTGAGTAAGGGCTGTCAGGCTTTTTAGCAGCCTTGCTAAAATGCACCAGTTAGTTCTGAGGGGGAGAAGAGTTGTGACTGAGAAGGGCTGATGCTTCCTTGTCAGTGTGTTTGGATCCTTTTCTTTCTTCAGATGGAGCTACCGAGACCACTGTCTGGACAAGAAAGCTCAGGGAGTCAGGGTCTGCTGCTCTCCTCCGACTGAGCTATCCCAGGCCAGCTGATTGCTGAATTGCTGAGCAGGTTGGACCTAAGGGTTGTGCTTAGCACAGGCTCTAGCAGTGTGTTCTCCCCAAGCGGGAATATCCTTTGTGTGGAAAAAACTAGGACTTGTGAGGGACAAGGTGGTTGAGGTCATACTGTTATTGGACTAACTTAAAAGATATTACTTCACCCACATTGTGTCTCTAATATCCTAGGACTGACATGGCGACAACAACACTGCATAGAACTAGAGGGGTCATTATAAGGCTGCTTGATTCCGCACTATTGCCCAGAGATGAGGGGTGCCCTGCTTCTTATTTTCTACTATTCTATATTTGTATCTTTCAGCAAATTTTGTCATTTCATTGTTCACCCCTTCTTCCAGGTTATTAATATAGACATTAAGCAGCAGGTGCTGGATTCACAAAGGGGACTTAGCTATTGCAATACTGAGCATTGCAATGCCTAACCCCTAAGTACTCTGCCTTTCAGTGGAATTCACAACCCCGAGGTAGGTGCCCAGGCATACAGGGGACAGTTGGGTGATTAAGGTTATGTCTACATTGCACTTTCGTTGTTAAAACTTTTGTTGCTCAGGGGTGTGGGAAAAAAACAACAGCCCCGAATGACAAAAGTTTTAACAACGAAAAGCACCAGTGTGGACAAGAGCCGTCCTTAGGATTTATGGGGCCCTCCACAGTATTATTAAACTGATGCCCCTATGCTCCATTGAAGGAGGTCCCCAGCTGGCGCCACTGATCCCATTGTGTCAAGGGGGCATAGCCACCACCACCACCCGCGGACCCCCAGAACACCCCCCCCCCCCATTGCTGGCACACACTGAGCTTTGTACGCAACAGACGCTGTGGTAGTGACTCAAGACAGGCTTCCCGTCATATGGAGGCTGCATCTTGCTAGAGCCCACAGCCCTCCTGCAGTCCCTAGCCACTCCTGACTCACCACGAACATTTTGACAGGAAGTACCAAGCAGTAATAACAACAACAACAATACAAATGTGTGTGTTCATGCGTGTGTGAGTGAGAGAGAGAGAGCCAGTGTGTGTGTGAGAGAGAGAGACTGTGTGTGTTTGTGTGTGTGTGAGACTGTGTGACTGTGTGTGTATTGGGGAGTGTGAGACTGTGTGTGTAACAATCTGTATTGGGGGACTGACTCGTGAGAGGCAGAGTGTATGTGGGTGTGAGAGCCAGTCTGTGTGTGAGAGAGACTGTGTGTGTGTTAGGGAAGTGTGAGAGACAGTGAGCGCACTGTCACTTTAAGTTCCCCCTCCCCTCCTCCCCACTCACATGGAAGTGTCATTCCTCCTGTCCTGGCCCCCGCCTGAGACCGAGTGGCACAGGCAGGCAGGCAGGGTCCAGGGAGGAATTCCGCTCCAGGCGGCAGTGGACCAGGGGTGCGCTGCTCTGGGCTCCCCAGGGCTGGGACGGACTCAGAGGCTGGAGCTCTCAGCCAGGCGGCTGAGGAGTGAGTGAGGGAAGGGGCGGGGAGAAGGCCACCGGCCCAGCATGGGTGAGGGGCAGGAGAAGAGGATTTCAGCTGCGGCCAGCGAGGGAAATGGTGCCCTACGCAACCGCATATGCTGCGTATGCCTATGGATAGCCCTGGTGTGGACAGTGCTTCGTCGGCTACACTGCTTACCTTACAACTGCATGGCTGCAAGGCACAACTGTGCCATTGCAAGGTGCACAGTGTAAACATAGCCTAAGAAAGGAATTCAGAGAAGCCAGCAAGAAGGCAGCTGACTGAACTGGCCAGAAGTGAAAAGCAGAGGAGAAAGTCGGGCTTAAGTGCTGGATTTCCATTGATCTGGCCTTAGCTACCTGACTGACAGGCAGGGCCGGCTCCAGGCACCAGCCGAGCAAGCTCGTGCTTGGGGCGGCAGATTCTACGGGGCGGCATTCCGCCCAATCCTAGGGCTGCATGGCCGCTTTTTTTATTTTATTTTTTGTTGGTTCACCGATCCGGCCGCCCTGTAGGGGGCAGCGGCACGGAGGAGGGGAGCGCCCTGCTGGGAGCGGGCTGCGCACTCCGTCTGCCCCAGCTGGTGCCAGGTCTGTAGCAAGCCCGGCAGGGCAGCCCGTGTCCTTCCTCCCTGCTGACCGGAGCGGCGCGGAGCCCTCCCAGCAGGCAGTGCAGTGGTCGGGGCTGTGTGGCGAGCGCCCCGCTGAAGCCCTGGCTGCCCCCCTTTTCTCTCTCTCTCCCCACGCTCCCTTCCCCTCCCCCCCACTAGCCAGGCTCCGGCCGCCCCGTAGGTTCCCCCCCCC